GCTTCAAAGGATAGTTGCAGATTTCTGTCAGAATCTGCAGATTATACAGTACAAATAAAATGTTCACGTTTCTCCAACACTGTCTTCCCGACAGTTTCACTAACATCTACACTTGCTGGCAAGGAAGCGTTCACGATGTCTTCTCGTGCACTTCTCCGGTGCTAATAATTGGCGTCTGTCCTGTGTCAGTGATGTAAAAGACGGAAGACATGATCATTCAAACAGCAGTCGCTTTCTAAAACATCATATATGTATCAGATTCAGTACCACATACGAAAGTGAGCTAGATCGGATCTGTTCACACTGTGATACCATGATCGGATATGGGTCGCATAGGATCAAAAAGGTTAGATTTGATGCACTTTCGCCTGCAGTGTGAATGTAGCCTTAGACTCCCATGTTAAAATGTTATAAAAGAAATAAGCCTGACCCCCCCCCACAGTTTGCCCCAGGGCAACTGTGGTTTGCCTCCACCAGTGTGTGAATGTGAGAGTGAATGAATAGTGGAATTGTAAAGCGCTTCGAGTGTCTAGAAAAGCGCTATATAAATGCAATCCATTATTATTATTATTACATATAAACACAGTGACAGCTATTTAGGAAAACCTCACCGTGGATGTTCGGTGCATGAGGGTTTTCTGTTTTAAAGACAGGATCAAGAGCTGTCAGCACCACCTAGAGGACAAATATAAGAAATACAAACATATTTACTTAGAACCAGTATAAAAAAACATAATTAATGCTTTGCTGTTATATTACTTCATTTTATCATTCCTGTTAGTTAGTTAGTTAGTTTCAATTTTGTCTCAATGAATTCTTATGACAAAGTCCAGAATGACTGAAGCCCAGGGGAGCTATAGAAAAAAAGCTCATGTTCACACTGGCTGTAGTTAAAATTGTTACCTCTCCACCTAAGGATGGTTCTGATCCAGAGTATCTGCTGTCACAGACAACGTCATCGATGCTCCTGGCGGGTGCAGTCGACACTGAAGGGAAATGAAGAGAACAGTCTTCTGCAAAGTAACGGACAACTGTCCAACTTCGCCCAAAATCCCTTGATCGTTCCACCAACATGGCTGCTGGCCGAAGACTCTGCACAGAGCAGATTAGCATTATCTTAATGTTTGATTAGGCAAATGTTAAAGGTGTAGGCTCTTTTCTGTTCATACGACTTTTTGACTAGCATTAAGTTAATTCCCTAAAAACATTAAATTCAGTACGCTTTAGAGGTATACCTTGAACCTGAGGACCAGGTGACTGAACTGGAACATAGTCTCCAGATTTAACTGGATGCTGACATTATGAACTCCTGCACAGAAGGCAAGCACAGAGCAGACTTACAGTGTTGCAGATTGTTTGTGGTAGCATATTTTAACTGTAATGATCCACAAACAGTAAGTCGTGTTTCTTTGTCACACACAGAGCAGTAGGGGTAGAGTTGCAAAGCTAAGTGCTTTCTCTTACCCAAACACATCCTGCCACCTAAACAGAATGTTTTTTGTAACTAATATATTGATTTCACATAGTTTTCCTTCTCCCTTTGATTGGACAGTTTGTTGTTACAGAAATACTCAAACTTACCAGTCTCCGACTGCCACCACTTCAGCTTTCTCTCGAGGTCAAAATTTGTGATGACATTCTCAATACG